AGAAACCCATGATAATTATTGGGGCAATTGCTTATCTGATTTCCCAAGAAAAGTACCACTTCTAGTACATCCATTCTGGCCACATGATTGTCTATCTTTTTGGTACTGGTGGTCTTAACTTGATGTTTCTTAGGATGGTTGTGAATAAACAGAGTAATAAATACTTTTTGGTGTGAGTTTATGTAATTTATTTCCAAACTTTCATTAAAATGAGAGATATAACTCTCTGAGATTGTCTTCTACATGTTAGCATTCATTTAACAAGCTACAACTTCTAGAATGGAGAATTTAGAGAGGCCACGTAGAAAGGTACAGGTTAGATTTAAGTGGCACCCTGCTGAGCTGCTTTCTTCACTAGTAGAGTTTTTTCCATCCCCACCACCACCACCACTTCTTAGGCAGGTATAATTGTGCCCATTTTGCTTTCCTTTCAGATACAAGTTGTGCCTGTTTATACAGGCAGAGAAGGGTGAGAGCAGAGATCAGGCAGGCAGACAAGGATGTTTTAGGAAGGCGTAGGCTTTGGAAGAAGAGATCTGGGTTTGAACACTCCCTTCTGGCCTTCTTGATAGTTTGGCCAGAGCAGGACTTCTGTGCACCAGGGATGGGGTGGAGCCCTACAGCATGGGCATCTGGCAGTCAGACAGGTGACAGGAACGAATGAGAACCTGTGCACGTTAGGACTTTGCTGGGTGTGTTCAGCTGTGTGGTAAACACGAGGGGAACCACAGTTCAACCTCTGCCACTGTGAAGCCTGCAGTCTGTAGCCATGGAGAGGTAAACGGATCTGTGGGATTGAACCAATAAAGCCATGAGTGCCAAGTGGTGGGTTTCGGGGGGCCAGGAAGGAAAAGAGGAAGAGAGAGAAAGGATGGCTTTGTCCGAAGAAGCGGCATCACAGCTAAAGATGAATGGAAAAGAGACACTAAAGGATAGGTGGGAGGAAAGAAAGAGATTGCATATCGAGGAAGAGAAAGGAAAACATTCAGAGGGACCAAGCAATGGGCACGGGGCATGTGAGAAAGTTAGAAACAGAGGAAGCTGAATTGGTGCAGAGCCTCCCGGACTCCCTCGTCTTAGTCTCCCCCATCATTTTCTTGGACTCTTCTATGACAAGTATGTGCTGGGTACCAAGATGCATGCTGACCCGGAGGTAGCCAGCATGCCACCAGGGAGCTGGCAGTGCCGTGCAGCTGCAAGGCCAGCTAGACACCACTGACAGTGGCCACCGAAGACAGGCTTGGAGCTCCCATCCCTGGAATGTCATGGTGTTGCAGGGGTGGAAACATATGCAGCTGTTACCATAGCCCAGCGGCTTTCTCACACAACCGAGGAGAAGTGCTAAGAGCGTGAGCCTCGGATCCCCTTGCCCAGGCTCGCGGCTCAGGTCCTGTGCTGCACAAATTGTTTAGCCCCTCCCTGCTCCAGTTTAATTATTTCTAAAGTAGGAGTAAAACTTCTCCAGGAGACCTGCTGTGGAGATTAAAGGAATTAGCACAAATAACTTCCTAGAAAAAGTCCTGGCATGCATTGGATATAGACATACATATATAATAGCACATCTATATGCATGTATATGCATTAAATTACTATTAAATTTAAATATTATCTTTTAGTTACTACTTTCGGCATTAAATGAGGATGAGCTTTCAAAAAAGGGGCTCGCTGGTCCCACTTTGTCTAGGAATGATAGGTCCAATAGTTGGTTGTATTGAAGTAAGCAGCTTTTCAGTACTGTGAGAGCCACATATATTCAGATACCATGGACATAAAACAGTAATTATTTATAATAAATCCAGTTACTCTTTTATTATTTTCTTACCCAAATTTGGCAAAAAAAGTTAAATGAAAAAATACACATGCACACACATGTGCACACTCTATGTATCTTTTTAGAGGAAAAGAATGTGTTGTTGAGCTGCTGAAAAATTTGGTAAAAATATCTTCCAAACTTAAGTCTAGTCCTTGGATACCATGAGAGAGAAGCCCCTAGAGTCTCGTGGACTTTCACTGTCCAAGCAAGTAGTCTGTTAACGGCTTCTGGAGGGCAAACCCCTCAATCACTTCTGCCTTCCGAGGGCCAGGAGTTTCCTGTCAGCCTGTGTAAGGCAGAGTTGTTTTTCCTAGGGGAAGAGTGAGGACAGCCCCTCTTTTTGTATGTAATGGTAGAAATTGAAAGACTGGTGTACAGCACACAAAGAGATTGCCAAGATGTCAGTGTCCAAAGGGAAATGCTTATATTCACAATCAGATTGAATAACTTTGGTGTCAGTAAAGTTTGTCCTCACTAGCTATTCAGTGAAATGAAGTTCATTTTAAAGTTCATCAGTATATGAAGAGCTTCTATTTACTTTTAACAGATTTGGATATTTCCATTATTAGTGGCATGATTTCTATTATTATTGGAATAATATACAACAAAAAACTTCAGGGGATTCATTATAGATTATGTATAATTTATTCATCTTTGAAAATAAGCTTTAAACATCTGAAATTACTTCTAATATTCATAACAAGTGATAATTTCTATGGTAATGCTAAATAATTAAACTTCCTTGTACACTGTAATTAAGAGTTGGTCCTTTTTCCTAGGTTCTTCATATGATTTTAAACACATTGATTCCAAACTGCCAAGCATTTGAATTTCAAAGTATTTTCAATTGAGTCCCACTGAGACAAATATAATGCTTCCGTGGTTTACTCCTGGAAATTACTCCCACACTCATTCACCTTTCCTGGGAAGGAGCATCGCACTGTCTAGGGTAGAAGCATGCTCTTCAGGAAACTGAGGGGGCTGACACCTCCGACTCTTGAGTGAATTTTCCATTTCCTGTGTCCTAGGAAACCCCAGAGCCACCTCCACCCATCACCATGACTCTTGCAAACTCAAGTATCTCATGGGGCTAAAGAACCCTCTGCCCAGAGATGTCACGTAGATAGACTCGCATGAGTTAATTTGTGGGATTAAAGGAAGCTAAGTGTAATGAATTGTACACAAACTTAGCTGTTCAAAATTAGCTCCTCTAAAGTTGTGTAATGAACCTGGGTCATCATAAGGATTATTGATGGAGGAAAGTAGCTCTCAGTGAAGGCGAAGCTTGGTGATTCCTCCTCATTTACTTTGGACCAATTGTCCGAGGATGCCCAGGATTCAGGCATAGGTATTTGAGCATATGGGCCCCCATGTGGAACTCTATACACACACATACCTTCATCTCATAGATTTAAAATTATGTGATATTGTCATCTCTGTGATGTGATTAATACCCTAATAAGGCACATTGAGCAATACAATGATAATAATGCATATAAATGTAGAATTCATCTAGAATGGATGCCAGCTACGGGTAGTTTTTTATTTTGTTTACCATGCTGTACTTAAATCAAAGTTTAATGAGCATCGGAACTAAACCTGACCAAGCTTGGGACATGACACCTCACATTTGCTTGGTAATCCTCATCTTTTAAATGCTTTACAGTTCAGATGCCTAATAATTTGGAATAAATTTATTAAGAAATACATCAGAAAACTAGGGAAAAAGCCTTCAAAAATATTTTTGAAATATATTGACCCACTTATAATGGTACAGTAATGTCAACTAATTTATTCAGAATTGTTAAAGAAAGAACTATTTTTCAGTGAATGAAAGTTCACACTAAAATGAAACCATTACTGCTCATTTCTGTTTCTAAAGGTAAAAAGTTAAATGACGTTAGCATAGGAAAGTTCAAATGTATGTTGGCTTTACTCTTGTAACAAATGTAGAATTTAATAATATATGTGAGTATGCAAGAATAATCCAGACTATCAGATCTGATTTAAAATATTACTAGGTAATACATACCTAGTATGTATTTATGAGGTTAGAAGAAAGAAGGGAGAGAGACACACAGACAGACAGGGAAGCTGGGAGGGAAATTATAGTTGAGGATAGATATTCTACCTGGGAATACATATATTCAGACTTAAGGTAAGTAAGACTTAAGGAAATTTCAGATTCATCCATTAGACCCTGAGTGGCAAAGCTCATTTTTCAAAGGACATTTTAACCTCTTTGGGAATTCCTGTGCTGAGTGATGCATTGCAGCCAGAAACCTTTCCCACAGGGTGGGATTGCGAGGGCGGCTGCGTTTCACTGCTTACTGACAAACCAACCGTAACAGTTCTGGTGTTCTCTTTTAAGCAGGAGAAGGTGAGAACATGATTAACAAACACTCTTTACTGTGTTAGCACCTCGAAGGCCTTTTGGCCATTTATAGTATAAAACCTCTGACACCTTAGGATACCAAATTATTTTCTTCTTCGAATAGTGTGTGCCAGCGTATTCATGAGTTTCTAAGATAATCTAATTGTATGCAAATTCTAAATCTTGACAAAAGTACTTCATAGATTATTCGTTATATAATAAAAAAAAATCTAGTAATATTTGAGTGTATGAAATGTAGCAATAACAGATAATATGCAATTTTATAGTTTCCTTCTGATTATTCTGGTGTTTGTTACCATAAATGAATTTTCCAGTGATACTCATATAGAACTTAATTATTTTGTTTTCTGGTTCCACATTTTTCTACTAAAACAAGAGACAACTTCCCCCTTTTTTGGAAACCAAATGGGTTAATAACGAAATAAATGCCCAACAGAAGAATCTTGTATTGTCACATTATATTTAATTTCATGCATGCATGAAAGATAACAATGTGATTCTCCAGTGCTAAATATTCCTCAGCCATTCACACTCAGTATTATCTGAAGTAAAAATAGATTAAACTTGCACAACGGTGAGTTTCTACAAATAATGAAGTTTGGGCAATTCATTAATCTTTATCTGCTTGTCTACCTTTTATAACTTGCATGAAGTAAAATATTCATTTGGGGACTGATCAGATTGCAAAGGATCTGACATTACAGAGCAAATCACGGGGCTGAAAATGTTTTTTTTTTTCTTTTTAAATTATACATAGCACCTGTTCCTTACATGCCTCTGTTTTTCTTTTAGTGGCAAAGCATTTCTATAACACTGGTTGAGAAAGTTCAGATGATTGCTGTAATCCTAGGATCCCTGTTCTTAATAGCGAGTGTGACCTGGCTTCTCTGGTCAGCCTTCAGCCCCTATGCAGTGTGGCAGAGGAAGGACATCCTTTTTCAAATCTGCTATGGAATGTATGGTTTTATGGATCTAGTGTGCATAGGTAAGACCACGATGTTAACCATTTATGAACTTGTCAGTAATCCATTTTTTTCCAGCAATTATCTTCTTGTCAGTTGGGTCTAACACACCTAGAATGTTGCAGTTCACATTATCTTGGTTTTACAAATAATTATTTGGGGCTACAAGAATGCTTTTCTTTAAAAAAAATAGCATTTATATTCTGATGTTATCTGACAAAGCAACAGATAAAAGCCATGTAAAGTTGTATATTTTGCAACTGAAAGAAAAAAGAGGTGAAGAAATGATTTGAGGTGAGTGGTATAAGTAAATAATTCATTTCTAAGGAGTAAAGGCCAATCAATGTTCCTTTGTAGAGGTGGGGAGGGATAGATCAATGCAGTGGCAATAATGAGAGGACAGTCACCCAGAATTGGGATTGTGGTTCATATTTGGAGATATAAATGGCTCCTTGGAAGATTAGGGACTCGGGGACAATTTTTCTTGATACCAGTTTGTTTCACTTAACAAAGTCAGTGGCTTAGAAACAAAAGCATATCAAACCTGTTAGCTCAAATAGGTTACTACGAGATAGCTGCAGAAAGGTCACTCTGAGATCCACTTGACCAGTCTCCCATTTCCCTAACACCATAGGAAAAATGGAAACCAATTCACGCTGCATTTATGGGATATGTGCGAGGTATCACAGGCAGCCACCGTGATGGGGCCCATTTCTGGGGTTAGGGGCTGGAGATGGTGGATCTGGGCCCCTGGGTATGAGGAGAATTTCCCTACACCATTATGGTTCACAGCCTTGTGAATTGTAAAGACAGCCATGGTTGCCAAAGCATTGTCTCTTGGCATGGTGTCTGGACCACTGACAGTGTCAGCATCTCTAACAGCTTATCCTTCTCAGCCCCATCCCAACTGACTGGGCCACCTGGATTCACACCACTTTAACGTTCTGATACCCTGGAAGCTGGGCATGGATACCTCAGTGTGGGGTTGAGGGACCTCTGCTTGCATCGGTCACCTTCATCTACCTACACTCACGTCCTTTCACCATTAAAATGAAATAATTTCTACCTTGCAGTTCTAAATGAAGGAAACAATAACATATTACTAAGTAGAAATAGTAGATCAAATATATTTGAATAAGTCACAAACATTGAAATAACTTTACATCACTTAAATTAATCTGTGTACTTATCAGACCCTTAATTTAACTAGCAATTACAGCTAGTTTTTTTTTCCAAAAGAACTACATCAATAAATGTTAAAAATATGGTCAGCCTGACTTTTCCTTATTTTATTTTATTTTATTTTTCTTCTTCCCTGTCACTAATATAAGACTAATTGGAAAGAAAACAATCATATTTCGGGCTAGAAAGAAAAAAATAGAGTGGGAAATATGAATAATATGTAAGCTGAGCAGATGTTTCCTGAATAATTGTGCTAATTATCTATTTGAACACTTGGCATTACATGTGATAATGCATGCAAACATTTGGAAATTCTAAAACTCAGATTTAGTCTTTAGAGAATTTCTCTAAATAAGGGAAAAAAATCTCAAAATTGTTCTACAAATTGAATCCTTCAAGAAGTTCAAAAATTGTGTTCATTCTTCAACTTGAGTATTATGTAGCATTCCATTGATATTAAAATGAGGGCATTTTAGAAAGCTCAAAGGAAGAATTTTGTAGGTTTTCACCATGAATAAATGATAAATATTGGAAGAGGTAATAGATTTAAGCATTAGACAGTGCACGCTTGTGGGGGGACAGTGCATGGTGCTCCATTAATATGTATAATTCTTATGTTCTTATGTACCAGTTTAAAATAATTTTTTCACAAAATCAGGGAAATGTCAAAAAGAAAATATAGGCTCCCAATTCAGCTAGGAGGGGAAGAAATCCAGTTGACTTTCTTGACATCATTGTAAGACTAAAAGGGATACATATGTTCAGATTAGAAAGTCATTTTCTTGGATTTCAAAACTTGCATCACTGTTGTTGTTATAGCGTAAATTCTTAATTATTATTGCCAGATTTTAATGAAGGTTATTAGAAGCTCTTTTCAAGAGCCCAGACATGTGACCTAATGGTCATTTTTAGTATTATATGAGCTATTTGGATTTGAAATGTTAGCATTTTCCCATTTTATAAAGTCAGATTTCTTGGAAAGAAAGACAGTTGCCATTTTTCTGGAGATATTTTGGAAAGTAAATTGTTGCCTGCATTGTTAAATATTGATAGTGCTTTGTATGGATTCTAGTTCATCAAGTACAAATCCTATCTTTCAGTGATACATTTTTATATAATTTTGAAAAATTCAGGTTGAACATTATTTTACTAATAAATCTAAATAATTTTTTTTTGCTTTGGCTCGGTGACTATCTTAATTTTTCCTCAAGGAATTAGGAAACTACTATACTAAAGAAAGCAATAGCCATTTAGATTTTTGCCACTGTTAATCTCTGCTACCATTTTAAATTAGTTAAAATACCTGCTAGGTAAGTGAAAACAGCAACAAAAATTACACTGATTGTACCTTAATACCAGTACTGCCCAGAAGACACAGTCAGCGCTAGAATGAAAAACTTTACAACTTTGAGTCCAATTTACTGAGGTCAGTTTAATAAATATGTTTTGGGAACAGTCCATATGTTCAGCACAGTACTACCTGCTAAGAATACGAATGAGCTAGTGATCTTTCTACCCCGAAGCAGTGCCTCATCTCACGGGGATGTACAAGTTTTGGTAATCGAAATGGTGTCGTTGTGTCAAGCACTAACCAAAAATAAGTGATGTTGGAAGACTGTGGAAAGACCTCATGCTGAGGCCAGATGAGAGGATACATCACAGAAGATGGTCAGAAGCACAGCCTTGAGTGAGGCCATCATGACTTCTTCACATGGAGAGCACTTCTATAAGAATTACTGCCCCCCAAATGGCTTGTTTAATCCTGGTCTGACATCACCCTTGTTACTGATCTTGGAGGGATGCTTGATGTTATTTTTCATGGCCAAGGATTATTGCTTTAAAGTATTTTATATGATGCCCCTCCTCTGCCTTCAACAATGTCTCTTTCCTCCACCATCCTGAACACACACATAGTTTACTCTCTACTCACATTCCCTGGAGTGCCAGTCCGGAATCAATTTAAGTAATCTTTAGAGAATCCCTCTTCCTGTTTATTTGTTTAGTTTGACAGAGAAGATGGTCATGTGAGTAAGTAAACAGAAAATAAAGGGATGTGCAGTTATGAAAGAATGCATAGGAATTGGTAGTTGGATAACACGGAGAAATTAACGCTGCAGTGTTATTCAAAGAAGTTTTCTTGCAGATTTTGTAGGGTAGTGACAGCCACGGTGGCTGACAGCTGATGGAACTTGACAAAAGGAAAAATGGATCTCTCTTCAATCCTGCAGGAGGGGAGATTGGCTCTCCTTTCAAGGGGCTTTGAAATAGTTGGAAACATCCCCACAAGCTTTTAAAACTTGGCTATATCTTGATGAGAAAACCACAGTGACAACTTGGAATCTTCTTTGAAAATCCACGGCCAGTCATTCTAGAATCTAAACATGTTATAATCCCACCAGTGCATTTAACAGACCGGGAGAAACTGGATTGCTAAGTAGAATGTTAAAGGTTTGTAGAATAGTTGTTTCCTTGGGGAAATTTCTTTACTTACTTCCACACACAGTGAATTGGTTTGTTGTTTCCACATAATGTTAATAATTTTTTCTCCTTTCCCTCTTTTTGTTTGTTTTGCTTTGTTTTTCTGGCTGCTAATGTTTTAAATTCTCCCACGGAGCTGGGTACTATCATAGTTGAAACATCAAAATCAGATTTGATAGAACTTTCTGTAGTGATGAAGATGTGCCATGTCTACGTTGTCCAACACCGCAGATGCTAGCTAAGTTTGGCTGAGGAGTATTTGAAATATGGCAAGTGAGAGCAAAGAAATCTAACATTTAAGTGTAATTTTATTTAAATTAATTCAAATTTAACTTAGATCCCTACATGTGGGTTATGGCCATCGTGCTGGGCAACACAGGGGCCAGGTGATGGGGTGGCAGATATGTGAGGATTCAACAGATGCACCTTGTCTGTGTGGGTTGTGGATCTTGACTGGCAAAGGAACTGTAATCTAAGAGAGATGGATCATGTGATGATGGGATCAAAAGGGTTCGGTGAAGAGGGATGAGGGGAGAGGGTGGTTTCTAGCAGGGAGTCAGGGCCACAAGGGGAGATGTATGTGGCAGCTGATGCTTATTTGTTACTGAACATTTTTAGAAGACTTCTGTGGGCTAAATGTGAATTCAGTTTTCAGTCTGCATTTCTTATACAATTCCTATCCATTTTCAGGACATTGAAATATGATAATAGCTATTTGGGACCCTCTTTTAAATGTTTAAGTGGGTGACATTCAGACTGATTGCTTCCAGGAAAACCAAACTAATATAAAGGATTTAAATGTGTGAGATGTTGCAGCCAGCGGCAATAATCAAGAGAGAAGTAGAAGAAGCTTGTATTGGCTCCTCCTTCCAGAATTTTTGCTGAGGACAGGGAGGATTAGCAGCTCCAAAAAAGAAAAACAGGACTAGGGGAGGAGACCTTGGGTGGTCTCGGCAAGTGCTGCAGGGAACCTGTTTATCGATGACTAAAGCTGAGGGCCTTAGAAAGGGCCACGGGTTCATTTGGTTCACTTGCATCTAAAACAGAGTGTGGGTTCTGAGGCATTCTAGTGTCAGGGACTGCAGCTGGTGCACAGAGCTACGTGTGGAAGTGGTAAACCAGAACATGCTGTGTTATTGTGAGTCTTGAGCTAGAGATCTCCGTTCACTGCAACTTGTGGCAAATCCCCTGAGAAGAGGTTTTGGTCCCCCTTTGATGCTATGGAATGGAATTGGTTATGGTTATGGTATTTTAGCATATTACTTTTATTATTTTAAACTATTTCTTAATTGCCCATGCAATGCCCACACATATATACATATATAGACTATGTGACATATATAAATTGTTTATAATACTGAAA